ACTATCCTTATTTTCATAACATATGGGCTTGCCAATTATTCATCTTGGCTACCACGCACATCAAATCAGTTTTAGTCGAAACCCCATCCTGACTTTCTCTTTCTCGGGCTACACCTCCCTCATCCAATCCTCGACAGTAGATTGTGATCTTGCAAGAAGAGAAAAATGGGTGTGTCGTGCATCACGAAGTTCAAGATGCGACAGTCTCGCCAAGCAACGAGTGAGTACGATCTCCGTCGCCGGCGAACAAATTTCTCGTCCGGCGATCGGGATCTTCATCGTATGCACGGAGAGAAAACAAAGAAAGACAAAGAAAGAAAGAAAGAGCGAAAAGAAAACGCCCAACGAGATCAAAGGATCGCCCGCAGACAAGACAAGTACGCACAGACTTCATCTCGTCTAATCACATTATGTTTATTAATCGTTCAGCAAACCCCAGCAAATATTTACAATCCGATCCGACGCGAACGCCGACCGCCATCGCCGTCGTCGTCGTCGTCGATCCAGCGGCCGAGATCGCGGATCAAGCGGCGGCCTGGGCCTGAGCCTGAGCCTGAGCCTGAGCTTGAGCCTCGTCCTCCGGATCTTCGAAGTTGGGGTCCTTGGCGTCCACGGCCGCCTCCCACGCGATCCCCATCTCGGCCCGCGAGTACCCGTCGCCGGACCACGTGAACTTGCCCCCGTGGCCGCCCTTCTTCGGCGACCCGCTCACCCCCGTCGCCGACTTCCGGTCCTTCCGCGCGTCGGGCCTCGGGTTGGCCCTCGGGCTGCTGCTGCTGCTGCCGCCCTTCCCACCGTTCTTCATCTGCGATCGATGGAAGATGAGACGGTGAGATGGGTGCGTGAGACGGAGCGTGAAATGGGGTGAGATTTATACTGGACAGAGAGACGCGAGAGAGGACAAAGTGGCAGGCTAAGAAGAGATATCACGGAGAGACGGGGCCAGAGAGAGAAAGAGAGAGTGAAACTGTGGGTGATGTGAAGGTGTGAGCGTGTGATTCGAGGAACATGGCGAGCCGGATAAGAACGAGTACACTTCGTGACATTATTTTATTTTATTATGAATTATTATTATCATTATTGATGTTGTTGCTGCCGCAAATATTATTTCTTGAGAAAATAATATTAATAAAGCATGAATTTTGATATAATGTCCCATATCGTTCATGCAAACCATAGTTTTAAAGAGAGACTTCGGCATTTTCCCCCACTGCAAATTCCCTCAATAGGGAAAAGAATTTTGCAGACGGATGCCGATGATGAGTATTGGGCTGCTGTTCTCCTCGAAGAAATTGATAGAAAGCATAAAATCTATGGATACAGAATCGGAAGGTTCGCGCGAGGAGAAATGCACGATCATTCCACCTTCGGAGAAATCCTAACGGTTAAATATGACATCGAGGGGTTAAAGTTTCATCTCATTGGACATCATTTTCTCGTGGAAAATGGACATGTCTTCGTTCCCGCTGATGCCGAAGTTCAAGTAAAAGCAAGTCCCTACCTCTCAATTGCTCCGACGGGCTGAATAGTTTTTGAAATACTCTTTCGAGACCGAACACATAGCAGGAAATATTTCCTGTCTAAACCCAAGGCGTTCACATCATCAATAAACATGTATCAGTCGAGATGCCCAAATGGGGAATTTCGAACATAAGAAATGAGGCCCAAACTCCCAAGCCAAATGTGCCCACCAAAAATCATAGAGTTAATCGAGACCTGCACTCTCTATGATAATCTCATAAAGCTTATGTGTGGGCCTATGATATAAATCAAGAGAAAATAAGACAACTTATACCCATGGCTCTCCCCGCCTATCAAAGTGACCATCTTTTAGCCACCAGATTCTTCTTCGAAATTTGATCCATACCAAAGATTAGACTTACAATAGCAGAATTCTAATACACAAATTTCATTTAGTGGCAAATGCAAAGCATGCTGTCAGGATAAAAAAGAACAAATATAATTTTCTTTCCTTTTTTCTAAGAATTATGCCAGGCCTTAAGAAAGAGGAGAAAAAGTGTTTGGGCATTCATAGAGTATTATCACACAGGCCTACAAACTTCACTCCTTATTCCAAACTAATTACATGATTGGCCTTATATAGGCGTAACATGAGGCATTTACAGACATTTTACACACCAATAATACATAGTGGGCTTAATAATACGAACTTCTGGCACATGACACGGGATGCTTCTTTTGGTAAAAACTTGGTGGCCTATAATACAAGCTAGTGGCCGACACATTAGGACAACAGGTCTATTCAAAGTCTTCGAAATTGTTTACTTCATATGAGCTGTCTCCTCAATGTAGTCCTTAAGTTTGGTATAATGATCAATGCGGTCTCTAAAGTAAAGGAGCATGTTAAACATTTACCAATAGTTCAGAGACCATATTGATTCAATTAAAAGTTTAGGGATAATATTGCACATTAAGCCAAAGTTCATGGACCATATTGCATAAATTAAAAGTTCATGATCGACGTTACACATTAGGCCAAAATTTGGGAGACTATTTATTCTATTATCCCTTATTTTATCAACGGTTTAATTATGGATTGGGAATCCTCTCTTACTTAAGAACATCAATTGATCACGTTCGCTGAACATTTGGGTTAATGATAAAGGGTTGGGGTGATTGGTTTCAAGGTGGGTCGGGTTGGTTCCTACCATAGAACAGCATAGTTCAACTACCTACAACACAATAAATCATCCACGAAATAGACAAAATGTATTAGAAACAATTTTCTAAGAACACACATTTCTTAAATAGTCCTTCACCAAACTTATTGTAGAAGCACAAGATCATAAGAAAGAGAGAGGGAAACCACCAAAGGAATATGGGGATTTTTAGGTCCATGGTTCGCAAACATAGGTTCATTTGTTTCGCGTAAAATGTACCATTTTAAAGAAATACTTTCCAGGCTTTTTATTTTCTAGTGTTTGGCTAAAATCTAAAAAAATCTAGAAAGTATTTTAATTGTTTGGTAAGGAAAATCTAATGGGGAAAATTATCAAATATTTTACATTTTTTAATTGTTTTTATTCTTTTCTTTTATTTTTCTTTTTCTTCTTCCTTAAGTGCTCGGAGTGGATTTCCTAACCGGTTAGTGCTACTTAGACTCGCTGTGGCCCAATGGGCCAGGTCTTACTAAACCATCACCTTTTTAGTTTAATTTTTAGGATAAGTGTAGTGGAAGTCCTAAAACTCGTCATTAAAGTGCAATTAAGTTATACAATAATCAAGTCCTAAAACTTGTTAAGCTGGTATAATCAAGTCCTAAAGTCAACACCGTCAATTTGTCTAAGGAAAAATGCTAACGTCACGTTTCCAAATTAAGTTTTCTCTCCTATGTGACGTTTTAAATTAAAACTTGTCAAATTGGTACAATTAAGTCTTAAAGTTAACACTGTCGAATTTATCTTTTTCACCTAATTATGCTTTCTTTAAGCAAAAAAAAAAAATCGAAACATAAGTGAAGAATCCGATTCGATGTCAAGGAATAATAAACAACCATTACAAGCTAAGATAGAAAGATTTACTGTCATTTTCACCCAACTTTACCCTATGTTTTTCCAAATTCTATTCTCTGCTATCTTTATGCTTTACCAAAATATATTCGCTACCATCTTTTTCCCTATCTTTTCGCGGCCTATTCTAACCTCTTTCCAAACAAAATGGTAAAGAAAAAAAAAAAGAGAGAGAGAAGGGTGTCCCCTTAGGATTGTCGGTAGGGGTGAGCAGTTCCCGGTCCGGTCCAGTCCCACCCAAGAACCGGGAACCGGACCGGGAGGATCGGTTCCCATTTTTTAGGACCGAGGACTAGACCGACTAGTCCTAGGACCGTGGACTGGACCGGACCGATGGTCCGGTCCGGTTCCAATGGAACCGATCACGTACTTTTAAATTAGGCTTTCTATTTTAAATAAATAAATGTATTTATTTTTCTATTTTCAAATGGAATCAATCACGTTCCAACGGAACCAATTTCATTTTCCAATGGAACCAATGGAACAATCCTTAAAAAAATTGGTAAAGGCAAGAGGGAATAGATTAGGCTTTCTTTTTTTCTTCAAAAAATTTAAAAAGTAAATATATATATTTATCGGTCAGGTTCCCACCCTAGAACCGGGAACTGGACCGCCCGGAAACCGGTTCCACTTTTAGGAACCGGAAAGCGGACCGATACTCTCGAGAACCGGACCAAACCGGCCGGTCCGGTCCCGGTTCGAGCGGTCCATCATGCTCACCCCTAGTTGTCGGCCCTCTCCTTGCGACGGTAGAAGATCCATAGCCCGCCCCGCCTTTTCATGGTCAGTGACAATATGATCGCTCAACACCCTCCTAACAATAGTAAATGATCCATGACCCTCCCATACCTTGGCATAGGTTGGTGTGGCCCGCTACAACTGTGATAGAGGGTCGCCTAACCCTCTGCCGATGCTTGCATGGGATCATGTCATCTCAGGCCATCGCCGCCACCCTCGACAATCATGAAATGGTGGCGGTGCCCTTTCCAAATGATGTTAAAGAGAGTCACGATCCCTTCCTCTCTCTTTTCTTTTGCTTGATATATATGTTTTTTTTACTCTTAAAGGATTTATAAGTTTATTTTAAGCACTGACACGGCGTTTGCTCGGAAAAATTTAGCTCGATGCCGATAAGCAAAAACTGAAAGTCCGGCACACTAAACAATCGTGATCAAAATTCGGTGATCTGATTGTAAATTCTACCTAAGCTTTATTACCATAAGTAAATTTTTTTTTTGTCAAATACCATTAATAAAGTTTACTCATATATATATGTATATATATATCTAACTGCCATAACAATATTTTTGTAAAATGGGCCAACCAAAATTTCCGTCTGGGACCTCCCAAAAAATGGACCGCACTCGCTGACGTGTCACCATTTCGTTGGAGGGGACAAGCCACTACCTCCTAAAAAATGCCCTAGCTAGCGGCGCGGGCAAAAAAGGCGTGTGGGGCTGAAGCGCACGCAGTTCGCCCGGCCGCAACGAAAAAGCCGGGGAATAAATAGAGGGAGAGGGGGGTAGTTATGAGGGGTGGCCTCGGACTGCTCTCCACGGTGTCGCCTCCGCCGCCTCCGCCTCCGCTCCGCTGCTTCGGCCGCCTCCGCCTCCGCTCCCTCTTCTCCTCCGGTGAGCCTCCCCCTCTCTCTCTCTCTCTCTCTCTCTCTCTCTCTCTATCTCTCTAGGTTTGGAGCTGTTTCGGATTCTTCAGCTCCCGTGCGCGGTTGGCCGGTTGTTCCTTCCACTTTCGCCGTTTGTACCGATTCTCTGGTGATAATCGGAGTGCTCTCCGCCGCCGCCTCGGCGACGTGCATGCATTTCTAGACGCATTGTCCGTTTAGGTTACTGTTTGTTCTATTGCGGCGTTCTCCTCAAGTCGCGATTGCCAAACTAGTACGGCGCACCTGTGACTGTGCTCGTTGTGCGTTTTGTCTCTCCGTTTTTTTTGGGGTTCGTTTGTTGGTAGTCGGGGAGTGTGAGGTTCGGAGGTTGGGGATTTCGGTTTGGCGGTGGTTTTGGTGGAGATTCTGTGAGAACTGCGGTGGTACGTGGAAGGAATTTGGGCTGTGATGATGCGCGCGCCTTGCTGTCTGTACTTTTAGGGATATGCTTTGTGATCGATCGTTCCATGCATGTTCCCCGTGGACATAAATGTGTGCAGTGCGGGACGATGTTTGGTAGTCGATTTTTGTGTTTTGTGTCTTGTCTAAGTTCTTCCGGTAATTTCTTGCAATCCTTGTGAAACTAGACAGATATCCTGAGAGTGAAATCTAGAAAATCAGTTTGGACCGTGAGGACACGAGCAGCGACAACGATGGCGAGTGTAAGTAACCCGCGATCGTCGCTTTTCTTCTGTTTCGGCTTTTGCCACCTCTGCTGGCGCCGGTAACTGTTCTTTTGAAATTATTTTTGTGGCTTGTCTCGCTTGGCATTTCCCAGGATCAAGAAAACATTGGCAACTTAAGGAAACAGGTGGCAAAACTATTTGAGACATCTCTTAGGGCAACAGTCCCCGAGGAATTAGATGTTGAGCCCTTGGTTGCTGCTTGCACTGCAAAGTTTGGCGATTACCAATGGTAGTTTTTTAACCCACCTTCTGGTCATTTGGAAATCAATAAGTTTGCTGGAATTGTATGAATTTATTGCTTTGCATTTTCCAGACATGAAGGTTTTGTGGCCTCATCATGTTTTTCCTCTTTTGGTTTCTTAATACTAATTTGTGATGTCCATGTGTCGTAGCAACAACGCTATGAGCCTATGGCCACGGATCAAAGGGAAAAAGACTGAATTCAGGGGTCCCCCAGCAGTAGGACAGGTAGCAAACTATGTACGGCAGAGTTCTCTAGTCCACGAATTTTCTAGCTTAGCATCTTCTAACTTGTCAACTTCATTCTCTCTAGGCTCTTATGAAGAACCTTCCTTCATCTGAAATGGTAGAGGCATGCTCTGTTGCTGGACCTGGATTTGTGAACGTCACGTTATCGAAGAATTGGATTGCCAAGGTGATTACGTCTCTAAAAATTCTGTTTCCAATTGAATGCCATTGATATTATTGTGGCAGTTGAAATAGATCTTATGTAGGAGGCCAGATTGAGCACCATGACTCACCTAGTGATAAATTTTTTAATTGGTACTCCAGAGCATTCAGAAGATGCTGATTGATGGAATTGAAACATGGGCGCCAAGGCTCTCAGTTAAACGGGCGGTGGTTGATTTTTCTTCTCCTAACATTGCGAAAGAAATGCATGTCGGGCATTTAAGATCTACTATAATTGGAGATACACTGGCCCGCATGCTGGAGTTTTCAAATGTTGAAGTTCTTCGTAGAAACCATGTTGGTGATTGGGGTACACAGGTGATTCCTGAAAATTTTCTTGTTGTGTTGACTATTTTCATAAGTGGGAGATTGATTTGTCATAAAATTATAAGGGGGCATAAAGATTACTGCTTGTGTACTTTCACTGGGAAATTGAATCTTTTACTATGTGAATTTTCATCCTTCTCATCAGATTGCACATTCTAAAAATTTAGTGCTAGCTGCCTTTTCCGCTTTGAGGGAACATGTGCCTACTTTATTTCATTATACTGCTGATGACTATTGATGATGCAATATGCTCTTTTGAACTAATGAAAAATTTGTTTTATTGTACTGTCATGCCATAAGTAACTTCCCTGCTGTATGGGTTTTGCAGTTTGGCATGTTGATTGAGTTCCTTTTTGAGAAGTTTCCTGATTGGGAAAGTGCTACTGAAACCGCCATTGGAGACCTTCAGGTTAGAGATGTTTTATATTCTGACTACTGAAGCTTCAATTGATGACATGCTGTTTAAGACCTTGTATAAAATGGCATAAAATTCTTTCTTGTCTGCCTTTGATATGGGGGGTGCTCGTTTATTCCTATGGGAAGTTAGTATCTTTCTTCCATTTGGACTCAGACATTAACACGCGAAGTTGACACCTTAATGTAGCATTCCCCATCATTTAGATAGTTACTCCACTAACCCCTCTCCATTTCTTGGGGTAAGGTTTTGCAGTGAAAGGTTTTCAACCTCTGATGTTCTTCTCCACCCGAACTCCTTGTGCTTGCATATTAAGCATGGCAGGAAATAACGGGGGTGGTGTATAACTAACTATTCGATAATAGGCTTTTGATGTGACTGATTGTGGTTCCTGTGCACTTCAGTTTGTTTTTCTGTAAATGGGGTGCGGTTATGTGCAAATGCCTAATTTAATCATCTTTTCTTTGTTGGTTTTATTTCCTTTTCCTCTAGCTTGCTGAAACAGAATATATTGGGCTTCAAGATTTGCTTTACTCAATTTAATTGGTGTATGCCAGGCATTTTATAAGGCATCAAAGCAGAAATTTGATGAGGATCCTGTTTTTAAGGAGAGGGCACAGAAGGCTGTGGTTCGCCTTCAGGTTAGTGCTGTGTACTTAGGACAGCTGCAATTTCCATATTCCTATTTTTTTAACTGCGATTAAGACATGTAGTCTTTTGTTGGGTGACTGTTGAGCTTGTATTCAGGGTGGGGAAGTGAGGTATCGCAGTGCATGGGCGCAAATCTGTGATATTAGCCGAAGGGAGTTTGATGGGGTCTATCAGCGTCTTGGAGTTTCATTGGAGGAGAAGGTACTGTACATTGTGGAATTCCTGCTATTAGTCAGCATGTGGTTTTTCTTTTTGTGGAGATATCTCGTGATTTAAGAACTATTTTGACTCATGCGATGCTCTTTCCTGTACATGAGTGATCATTGATCACTCAGCTGAGATATATTTAATCTACAAGGTGCACTTTGACTCAGTTATCGATATGAGGAAGTCATGGTGATGGATTACTTTTATATTATGCATAATATTAGCTCCATGGAAAATCTTCTTCTTCTGAATGCTTGTCCTTATCCTTTTAACATTGTAGCAGTGAGAAAGATGGTTATTTTTCTTGGTGTTGATGATTTTAAGAACATCGCTATATGAGCTTTGTGTCCTAATTTCCTCTAATTTAGTTTTCTGTGACATAGTGTTGGAGCTGTGAATTTCCATATGACTCTAGTGTGAGATGGTTTTTGACATGCTGGGAACAGTGCGTTTCCACGACTTAGCATCTTAATGATTTTTTATGCATTGCCTTTTGTCAGGGAGAAAGCTTTTACAACCCGTATATTCCTAGTGTACTGGAGAAGCTGAGCAACTTAGGGTTAGTTGAAGAAAGTGAAGGAGCTCGTGTGATTTTTATTGAAGGGTATGAGAGACCCCTTATCGTAGTGAAGAAAGACGGCGGTTACAACTATGCATCAACTGATCTCTCTGCCCTTTGGTTAGATTTCTTTAAACTTGGAAAGCCATTGTCTGTTCTTATTTTACATGGCCATCATATAGGTTAATTTCTGTAAATGTTTTTTTTTAAATGATTTATTCTTCTGCTTAACACATCAACTTCATGTATTCACATTCTAGCCTGTAATGCAGTCCTTTCCTTTGATTTGACAGTCTATTTGGGAGGCCTTGGCCTAAGTATTTTAGTGAACAGGGAACTGGATATTTGGTTTATGGTAGTTTCAATTGCCATTACAACTGATGCAGTGAATCAAGGTTTTCACAAAAATAACGAAACGCAGTGAATATATTATAAGCTGTAGTACAGATAACTAAATGTTTAGGCTTAAGAAAACCAAGGACTCCTAAAAGTATAATCTGCTGTAAAGAATATTAGAAGAGGATGGCTTACGAGTTTCGGATAGGGTTTAAGGACTATTATAATTGACTCAAACAACACTAGAATCTCAGCCCTTTATCTACTTTAAGATCTAATCTCCATCACTGAACCTCATTAAAGATCACATGCTGGTGGTGCGACTCCTTAAACTCTACAGAGACAACTAATTATTAAACAGAAAATGGGGAAATTACTGTAATACATCCTGCGTCAAGAACTCTTATTCACAGACACTCTTCTCGTCTACCCTGGGTTGCTCGATGTTACAATATTTTCCTCTATTTGAGGAGGGGCGTTAATAGTCATTCAGAAGCATTGTCGTTATTCCAAATTCACTTTTATGTTTTTTATATTGGTGTTCTACTGTTGTGACTTTTTAGCAATAAGGTCTCACCTGACAATCGTGCAGGTATCGCCTGAACATAGAAAAGGCTGAGTGGATTATTTATGTCACTGATGTTGGTCAGTCCGAGCACTTTCAAATGTTTTTCAAGGTGAATATTCAGAGCCGTATGCCGTTCTGTTTAATTTCTTTCCCTTGTTTATTGTACTATGGAGTATCATGATTGATTTGTATCGAATTATTCTCTGCATTCAATCTTTATGAACTTGTTGACTTGAGGATACATGCGTGAATTGGCTTATGCATTATTGGCCTTCTTTACAAGTCCATATGATTGGTTAGTGGCATGGAACGAAGCTTACTTATATCCTTGTTTCTGTTTTTTCAGGCTGCTAAGCGTGCAGGTTGGCTTCCTGATGATGATAAAGCATACCCTAGGACTAGCCATGTTGGCTTTGGTCTTGTTCTTGGTGAAGATGGTAAGCGTTTTCGAACTCGCAGTACTGAAGTCGTTAGACTTGCGGATTTACTGGATGAAGCCAAAGCTCGCAGTAAAGCAGCACTTGTTGAACGCGGTATGTCACTGTTCTTTATTTGGGTTTCATGAAACTTATTGGCTCAGTTTAGAATGTTTACTTTGCATTGATGCCAGACTATCCTAATTGAAATTAACTGTTCGATTTGCACCTTTTGACTACATAAATATTGTTGAGTTATCAGCATTTCATTTAGAAGCCTTTAAAATTTATGGTGGAACTTTCCATCAGGCAAGGATAAGGAATGGAATGAGGAGGAGCTTGACAAAACTGCAGAGGCAGTGGGTTATGGAGCTGTGAAGTAAGTCCACTGTCCCGCTAATAATCCTACCATGGTTTTTGTTATGCTGGTTCCATGCTCAGAAACAGCTCTGATGAGATGGTCTATGTCATTAAGTGGGTCTATAACCAAAATGCAAGCTAGACATTAGTGCATTGAAGAAGGCCTCAGTAAAGCTTCAGGAAGCACAAGCTGAACTGAACCTAGACTCTAGCAACTGACAAACAAGAAAATTTTCAGGAGTGATATACTAATCAAGAAACTGCGATGGGTTAAAAAGATCCTCAGAATAGTTTTCTATGCTTTTGTTTTTTGATAAAATGTTGTTACATGCTCTTTATCTAGAATTGCTTGGAGCATTTTCCTGACCATAAGAGAGATGGTTGAACTTTTTTTTGTGAAAATTTATTGAATGCCTTGCTAAGTAGTTGTCCGTTCAGTCCTTTATATGGATTTAGGAGTAGAGATAATTGATATCCTCTACTTCTCTTTGTAGGTACGCCGACTTGAAGAACAATAGGACCACGAACTACACCTTCAACTTTGATCAAATGCTTAATGATAAGGTGCAGATTTATGTTCTCCATCAATAGCTCTGTCAATAATTGATGAGTGTAGCTGAAATTATTTTGTCATGATTCCCAGAGAAATAAAGTCCTTTCCACTCCTTGCATTTTTACTTTACTAGGACAACAAAATTACTTTGGTTGTGTTGAGTGGATTTGGTTATTAAATTTTTTATTATGTTCCACTCAGTCCATGAGTTTTATATCCCATTTTTACCACAACGCACACACATGCATGTACGCCTCTCCTTGTTTCTTTATCTGTCCTTTCTTCATTCCTTTTTGGCTAAGTTATTATTTATGATGACAGGGGAATACTGCTGTCTATTTGTTGTATGCCCATGCTAGAATCTGCTCAATAATCAGAAAATCTGGCAAAGATATAGAGGAACTTAAGAAAGTAAGTAGTCTGTCTGTTATTTATGTTCAATTAGATATTGATATGGGCATATGGATTTATCGTGTAATGATTCTCCCCGCCCTTCTCTCTCTCTCTCTCTTTGGAAGATAAGAAAGTACTGATGCATCTTCATTCAAAAAATTGATGTACATCATTGTAATTAATGTTTATGGAACTTTACAACAACTCAACCAACGACGTTCTCTCTTTTGAATGCTAATTAAATTACCTCCTGGTGATTTATTTGGGACTTGAAACTAAAAATTAGTATTCCATGGTGCTACAAATTCAACATTTTGTCCTTTGTGTTTTAACTCATGCTTTTTGGCTGTAGACCGGAACCGTAGCATTGAATCATCCTGATGAACGGGCATTGGGGCTCCATTTGCTCCAATTCGGTGAGGTAGGACATAAATTAAGCATGATTTTGACAATGTCACGATACTCTTTTCTGCAAAGTGGGGTAGATATTAATAATACTTTCTTGATTGTAACTTTGCAGACTGTGGAGGAGGCTTGCTCTAATTTGTTGCCCAATGTGTTGTGTGAATACCTGTACAATATGTCAGAGAATTTTACCAGATTCTATTCGAACTGCCAGGTACTATTACATCTTTTGCCTCTGTCATGCTTCCAGATGGCAGGACATGAACTGCTGCTTGTTTCAAGCATTCATGCCATGTGCTTGTTTCGTCTCTTCACTGGGTGTGTCCGTCTGGTTTTCAAGTTTGCTAAGAATCTCAGTCCATAATTGCAAAGTGGTAAGATTTTAGTGCGGAGGGCTTTTGAAAGATAATGGTGTAATTTCTGGCTCTCTTCACTAATTTCCGAGGGCAGTTATGCAACTGCCTCCTTTGAAGTGCTGAAATTTTAAATTTGAGGTTTGAATTGCATCTCTCAAGTGGCCATAGTACTCGTACTATTTTTGAGAAACGTCATTATTTCTGGACAATCTCCCTAAGGTCTCAGCGTTGCCTCTGCACATTCGTAGTGATATGAGGCGAGATGTTACTTCCTTTCAATAGCTGTCACTGCAATGCTTCGTTTCCATCATGTTTATTCCCAACTTACGTATAGACTTAAACTATATGCTTAATGCATCTTTATGCAGTTTAGCTGAAATGTTACGGGAAATAGTACTGAAATGTTTGAAATTATCCGCAGGTGGTTGGATCGGCAGAGGAGACCAGCAGGTTGCTGCTGTGCGAAGCGACCGCGGTTGTAATGAGGAAATGCTTCCATCTCCTCGGGATAGTGCCCGTCCACAAGTTATAAGTACATTAAAAATAGGGTACCTTCTTCCAAATTTTGTGAGTTTACTGCACTGATTCACCCAAAGATTGGGTTAATTATAGGAAACGAGATACGGAAGCGGAAATTTTTCGTGTTTAGTTTGGAATGTCATGCCAGCGCAAGGGGATTTTTGTTGGGGTGGCCTAATCTTCTCTGTTGTTTTCCATGTATTGCATCGCATCGCATTTCTTGTATACTAGAAATCCGGTGAATTCGATCTATTAGTGCAATTAAATAGCAATTACATGGTTCGCATTATAACGCGTGTGATGATTTCAGATCTGGGGTTTTCAATTTATGGCCAATTTGAAATTGTCAAGATCAAGTCGAAGCCGATATACGCTAATTAAAAGTAAGAAACCGATCCTGATCGACCTCAGAAACCGATCCTAATCGACCTTGGTTTAAATGGATAACCATTCCCAATTTATGTTGATCCTCCCTTCCGACTCAACGCGGCATCTTCAATGTCATTATCATCCTGTCTTATCCTATTGGCGTGAAGCATCTTTATCTTGTTGTATTCTTGATCTAGCATGAGATATGAGGATGCTATATGCTTATCCATTCTTAACGACGGAAAGGGATTATACAATCACGCGCGAAAATGACAATGCTTGTTTCTCGGAGATCGTTTTCGCCCCAACAAAGCCTCAGTAGGTCGGGAATAGGAAGAACCTCTTCGAACCCCCTCGTGACTACGCTCCACCGGCATAAGCGACCATTATGCCGATCCGGGCGAGGCTATCCTTGGACGGATTAAGCGAACATCTTAAAATTTTATTTCGAACCGAACTCATTCATCGTTATTCGATCAAACAAGTTTTTTTTTTTTTAATTACACAAGTCATGTTTCTCATTCTATGTCGATGCATAAACTAGGACCAATAGAAAAAGAAAAAAAACGCATCACATGCTTCCCCAAAATCACTGGCTCCTTGATTATTTACCATAAACTCTTCCTAAATCATACAAAGCAAAAATGCCAAAAAAAAAAAAGAAAGAAAAAAAAGCAAATGTTCCGCCGGAACGGAAGATGTATTCTCAATACCCAGTCGAGCAAAACTCAAAATGTCTTGAGTATCGGAACGGGCGGTCTATTGCTGAGTGAAGTACACCTCTTCCCTAGATGCGAAGAAGAAGAAGAAGATGATGGAAAAGCAGATCTTGACGATGAACCCTTCTTCGATATGATGGCCTTGGGACCAAACGATCTGTTGGGGCTGTCCAAGCCTCCTGCATAGCTCTTGCACAGTTTCAATCTCTTCACGTAGGGCCTCTCCTTCTTCACCAGATCCTCCACGCTCCTGCAGCTCGCCAGCGATGTGAACGACTGCGATTTCCCGTCGTAGTACCTCGAGAGCCCTCTCCTGCGACATCAGGGAATTCCATTAATCGTCGCTTCATGAATGCGTGCACTCTAGTTTTCGTAGCTGTTGTTCGTGGGATTTTATTAGGAAGTTCGGGTCGAGATTCGGGCATGATCTTAGTTCAACTGATCTAGTAGGGCTTGAGATCTTGTTCATTATGATCTTAGTACTAAAAACATCTAACCCTTTTTTCCTTCTGTCGAGGTGATTCGGAATTTTCTTTCTCACTCGATCTAAATGCTTCAAGAACCACCATACTAGGATATTTCCTTGCTGTTCTCTTGATGAATTAAACTAGGAGCAACGACTTTTCGTGTTTGCTCTCGTGCTCGTGCTCGTGCCTTGATTCGTGTCGGCCCTATGATATCATGAGACGCAAGAAATTCACTAGATAACTATAGCTTATCACACAAAAGTGCGAGATCAGGTTTGAGTTATGGATACGATGACATTTTCTTCTCACGTATCTGATCGATACGAATTTTAGCAGAACTATAATAACAGCAGATCGTGTTCGAACGTGGGGAAAGAAATGATCAAACTTACTTTATAGGAAGCTGAGCCATGAGGTCCGACAACTCGTACAAAGGTCCATGTTTGCCCGCGAGAGACGACGACGACGACGACGACGACGAACAAAGGCTCGATTTCGATAAAGAAGGCGATGGAGAAGAAGACGCATCCTCTAGGAGATCGGGCGACGACGACGACGACGACGACGACGATTCTCGGGAGGAGTCTCTCGAGCCTTGATCATCCATGGACGTCTCTACCGATTCCGAATCATCGCAGACATTATCACCACCACCACAGCCGCCGCCACCTTCCATGATGCTCCACCCCTCTTCCCTTGGACGATCACCAAGAAACCTCAAACCCAGATCGCCAAAGCTCTGATCTTCGCCACCCATTAAAGTCATGAACAAGATAGACACACCCAGAGAGAGAGAGAGAGAGAGAGAGAGAGAGAGAGAGAGATGTAGATGTGGTCTTATCTCTGAAGACTTTGTTGCAGGATGCAGTAGTTAGTGATGATCCTCAGGGTCGCTCTTAAGGAAGCATGTGAGTATAAATACACACACGTACCCAAACAACAGCAGCATAAAGATAAGGTAACGTGATGCGTGCTTGAATGCGCAAAGGGATGAGTTCATCTTAAATACCAAAACGGAAGCCGTGGTGGCATGCGGATAGGATAGAAATGGACCCCCCCATTATTTCCCCTTTTTTTTTATATAATTCATTAATCATCCAAATTATTTATTTTAATCAAATTCATCGCTTTATTTATTTATTTATTTATTTTATTTCTTGGTACGACATGGACTTTTGTCCTCGAGGAGTAGTCAGCATCATCAGCCTTCCCCGATTCTCATTCCCTGTTCCCATTCCAATAATTGGTCTGAAATTCGTGGGGAAAGAAAGGCCTTTTCTCCATTTTGCTAGCAACGAGGATAAGGCGTAATTATCTTTCCTGTTTTTTCTTCTTTCCTTTTTCTTTTTATCTGTTTATTTTGATTTTATTTTGTTTTTTTTTTTTGAAGAAGTGCATACACATGTCCGAGTCGCCGATATGGACGGATCTATCCTAGCCCTTTCTCTATCGATGGGTAACCGATCGAAAAGCGCCATTATCTTTTGGCCTTCTTTGCCCCATAAAGCAATGACACCCGTGTTCAAATTTTGGCCTCGCTTTTTGAATTCATATTTATTTCATCCTTTTTTCTAGAACGAGGAAGTCCCCTTTGAAATAAAATTGGGGTAGGTCACACCCGGTTTGGTATCTCGTGAAGGTGGATAATTAGTCATAATCCGTTGCCGATTGCCGATAATTATCCGTTTAATTCTATTGTTAGAACATGGCTATTCTTGTTCATCTCAATCTTGGGTGGTCGTTAAATCAACGGTGATTTTCTTCTGTATAATATTACGTGTGATGTAATTTTTTGGGGGTCAACAAGTATAATGTAATTGACTTGCTGGCAAAAGTCAAGATTATGTGAACAGTGTTTTCTGGGGTTAGGTTCTTTGCAGGGTTTCTTTTATTTTATTTTTATAGAGCTAGTTTATTGACGGGGCTTAATGTTATTTTCTTATTAGGGCTCTAAGACCAACCGAAAAAAGTCCCTATCTTGACCTCTTCTTACCACCACGGTGATTGGCCTAGTAAGTAGCGTACGCCTTATTTTCAATGTGGTTTGGAGTCCCACTCGGTCATACGTTCGAATCCCCAAATCGCTCCTCGGCCTCAAGAAGTATTGGTTCGTTTGCGAGCATAAATCCGACCGCATCACGGCACAAAAGAACCCCGATTCTATTCCAACTAGCACTGTGATGGCAGTAGAACATGGCTCGAACTGAACGGTCCATCAAGGGCATGAAATCTTGTCACGCCAATCGCCCGTTTCCACCCTTTCGTTCTTAAAAATGAAAAAAATCTTGGACACTTACTATTTTCTGTTTTGTATTGTTTTTCTTGACATGAAATCATTCCCATACTTTCAAAAGAACCCGCTTGTCCATCGCCATTTACATGGTCAAACGTCAATTAAACCCTTAATGACTGTCGAGGCTAATTGGAATTAAACTAATCCCACAAATGGAAACACAGAGGCCGAGCCCCTGGAAATATTCCCTCTCTCTCTCTGCACTTTTTTTGTTCAACGCCAATCCTCAGTCATTTAAACCCGAATCCCGAAGACAAGAACAGTGTCTCTTGACCCCCATTCCTTTTGACAGACCCTGGCAGCACTTTTCACTGAAGTTATCAAATCGAGAGAGAGACCCAGTCCACAAGATCCTCGAATTAAAAGAGAGTGTATTACTGACATATCTGTTAACACCCACAGATTGTGATTCTCCTGTGCGGTTTTAAGGTGGAGGGTTGGCAGGAGAGGATAAGAAGGTTGACTTGGCTAGGAGTTATCATGATTGAGGAGGGGGAAGAGAAGAGAGGGATCTTCCCTTCCTTCACAGGTACCACATGTTTCGTTCTTTGGCCAGCTCCCCCCCGCCCTTTTTGATTTCTCATCATCTTATCCACACTCTGTTCCCTCCTTACCTAAATAACTCTCCATTAACACCCACATATTGTAAATAGGATAGAGGAATGGACCACTCCCCCGCCCACAAAAAAAAAAAAAAAAAAAGCTGCTTATCCTTTTTTATGCCTACCCTTCATTTCTCAGTTCTGTTCTTTTTTGGCACCTCCTCTCTATTATCTTAGCCTTCCTTTCGAAGCTTGGAGAAGGCGAAGACGATGGGACAGGGCGGTTTCGGGACGATCGGTCCCATTCCAAACCCTATTCCGGTCGGTCCCCGAGTAAAATGTGACCTCGGCTCGAGCCCAATATGGGTTTGTTAATGGAGTCTCGAAGCCATCCCAATTAAATTTACGGAAACTTGCTCAAAGCCCTACAAATATATGGTTTTTAATTTTAAAGAGTTAAACACGTGCATTCGAAATCAAGATGCTACATAAATAAAATGGGTAAAATTATCAAAAAAATCATAAATCAATTATACGGTTGTCAATTCAGTCATAAATTTCTCAATTTGGTCAGTTTAGTCATAAATCTTTTGACGATTTATCAATGTACTCATTCCGATCAATTTTGACCATAAATCATTGACGTGTACGCCGATCGTCTTACGTGGCACGACCGATACTAACGTGAATAATTTCATCAATTTTTTTTAATTCTCTAAATTTTCTTATAATTTTTTTCTCTTCTTTTTCTTTTTTCACTATGTGCAGGTGAGAGTTGTCGGCTGACCCTCGTTGGCCACAGGCGAGGCTAGCGACCCTCGCTGACACTAGGCAACGGCTTGCAAACCCTCACCAGATCTGGGCGAGGCTGCGACACCCAAATCCAGCGAGGGCTTCCCAGCCCTTGCCTATATGCTAGGGACCTCTGTCGACTACCGCTGAGGCTGCGGACCGGTGTAGAGAAATAAGAAAAAAAGAAAAAGGAAAGACTAGAAAAGGAAAAAGATTATAAAATTATCCACGTCAGCGCCGGTCATGTCATGTAGGACGACTGACGTCCACGTCAGCGATTTCACGCTAAAATTTGTCAGAATGACTACATTGATAAATTGTCAAAAGGTTCATGACTGATTTGGCCAGATTGAAAAATTCAGGATGGAATCGACATCCTTACAACATGTTAATGATTCCTTTTCGGGTCATTATCCCAAATATAATGCGGAGTATTCAAGGGGCAACAAAAATCCACTATTCTAATAAATACAATTAGTCATGAATCGGGAAAATTACCAAAAAATTCATCAACCTATTGCATTTGTGCCAATTCAGTCCTAAACCTTTCAATTTGGCCAATTCAGTCCTAAACCTTTTACAAACCAGCCAATTCAGTCCCTTTTGGCCGGCCGGCGTCCACGTGGCAATATTTTAATATTTATTATTATTATTTTTGAATTTTTTTCTTTTTTTTTTCTTTTCCTTCTCCCCCCTGGCCTGTCCGGCCAGGGGGGAGGCTCGCCGGCGAGGGCCCAGCTCCGGCGAGGCGAGCTGGGCCCTCGCCGCCGCTGGGCGAGGGCGGAGCTCGCCCAGCCATGGCGAGCTGGGCGAGCGGCGAGGGCCCAGCTCGCCATGGATGGGCGAGCTCCGCCCTCGCCCGAGCTGGGCGAGGCGGAGCTCGCCAGATCTGGGCGAGCTCCGCCCTCGCCTAGATCTGGCGAGGCGGAGCTCGCCATGGCTGGGCGAGCTCCGCCCTCGCCCAAATCTGGCGAGGCGGAGCTCGCCTTGGCTGGGCGAGCTCCGCCCTCGCCCAAATCTGGTGAGGCGGAGCTCGCCATGGCAGGGCGAGGCGGAGCTCCCCTTGGCTGGGCGAGCTCCGCCCTCGCCCAGCGGCGGCGAGGGCCCAGCTCGCCTCCCCGGAGCTGGGCCCTCGCCGGCGAGCCTCCCCCCTAGCCGGACAGGCCAAGGGTGAGAAGGAAAAGAAAAAAAAAAGAAAAAAATTCGAAAAAAAAATATATATATATATATATTAAAATATTGCCACGTGGACGCCGGCCGGCGCCACGTCAGCCGGTCGGCAGCCACGTCAGCGCCGGCCGGCCAAAATGACTGAATTGTAAAAGGTTTATGACTGAATTGACACAAATATAATAGATTGAGGACTTTTTTGGTAATTTTCCCGTCATGAATCGCGTATGAATCGCGTTTTAGGGGTGCCCACCAGCTAATTGCCTCTTTGCCCCCCCTCGAATCTTTCCAGGATTGATTTGGAAGAAGGTTTTGCCCACCTCTTTTTTTTATGCAAATTTTGCCGACCACATCTTTTGTCCACATGACTGAAAATTGTGATGTTTCCACGGCTCCACGCGATCCACACCTTCGACAACACAATCCCTAAGGGCTTCCATCAATAGTGCGAGCGTGGACCAAGGGGGCGGGGGGTGATCTTTGCCTTCTAGAATCCCCCGAATCATTCCATTTCGTATGGTCAAGACTCTCACAGTTGACGGGGTTCGAAAAGGTTGACCCGCTATGTTTAACTATGGCTAGAGGCGACTGCACGCGGTCGCGGATATGATCGGAATCTTTGATTTGTGAAATGTAATCGTACCCCCTCGACTACTTTGCTAAGTTAGAATTTAATCGCGAAAGTGAGGGTACAATTCTAAATTCGGGGTGGACACCGAAGTTCGAAAGCTTTATACGTAGTATAGTACAGAAGAAAAAATATAACTGAACCACTTAACACGTCCACTAGGCACCGTGTTGAAAGAACTGGTCTAACCAAATTATCCGGATACAATTAATGAAATTATTATACTAATTGATTGGATAATCATCGCCTAAAGATGCACTTATCTTTAGCAGACAGGGTCAACAAGTAGCCTCAAGTTTCGTCGAAGATACTAATTTCTTTTATCTCTAACAAATACTACTATGACAACGACATCAAAGTGAGATGATAAAGACCGGATAGGCCAATACACGATCCACGTCGCCGTTTCTTGCAATCCAAGTAAAGCCCTTTGTTCTCGGGACGGTGCGGCTTTGACATACACTTATCCGACAGGTTTCGGCTCGTGCAACTCCTACTCAGTACGCAATTCATGCACACCTAAAGTTCTAACTATCAAATATATAAAGAGATGAGACGCATCTTCGATGACGATACAAGCCATGCAAACATCCTTAGAACGACTGCCTCGTCCAGAATATGAACCCGAAGACATCCGAATTTCGCAAATGTCACTTGTCTTCATTGACTTGAAACGCAAGGTATGTATGTACAAAGAGTCGGGGATGGTCTCGAGACGTGAACTGGTTTGGGAAATTTTGGAGACAGGGTTGAGGAGGTTGAAAATCTTGGGAAGTTGAACTTCATAATCATCTCACCACAAAGGAGGGCAAAAACCCTAAACATGGCAAGGATGCACTAAACGTCTTGGTTCGAATGTTCAACCGCACATACAAAATAAACTTGGGCGGAATTTTGCTTTGATATCATGTTAGAATGTTCAACTATGGATAGAAACCCCATGTATGTAAAAAACATAAAAACCTTGAAGACAAGTAATGGGGGATAGTTTAACAGAACAATTTGTTCAAGGGTAATATCAGGGAAGGCTTGATGCATCTGCCTTTCTTCTGGCATACATGAGCAGAAAATGGTAAAGAAGATGGATTATAAAGGCTAAGCATGGATTATAGAAGCCTGTCTTCTTGTTTCTCTTGTTTTTGCCAGGAATCAGCTCTTTAAGGATATGGAGCCAAAACAAGTACGTCCCGGGTAAGCTTACTTATGCTGGCAGGATTAAGTAAAAGGCAGAATTTTGAGTACAGAACCTCGGCATGCTCTTTCTATATGTAAGAGACTTCTATCATCATTTGCTCAACTGCTCGAGCGAAGTCACGCCGTTCGAATTCTCAACCACGCACGCGAAGGATACATAAGAGTAAGAGGGCATTTACTCCAGAAACACCCACGGCTTCTTATCTCGGAAAACTTACGGGAGGTTCCAAGCTACCTACAAGAATCCCGAGATCGATGTCTTTATCTTCAAACTTTTTGATGAAAGGATGACTCTGAAATGAAGAAAGAATTCATTGTCAAATAACTGTCAAGCAGAATGTTAGATCTGAAATAGACAGTTTACAATCACATGCCACTTACCAAAAGGTCCAAAGACGAAGATCTTTGTTGAGGGTCCTTTTGTATGCTGAGAACCACAGAGGAAAGTGTATGTCAAAAAAACAATATTGAGTTCTGATACTACAAGGAGAAGATGAGGGGAAAGTTGAGGAAAGTATCATGATCTATCTTTTGCATTTGTTTTGGCTCATGCCCAGCCCCAACAAGTACCATGATAGATCTAATTTATACAGAAAAAGGAAGAGTGGAGAGTTAAGATAATTGCGTGATCTTTTTTATGAGTTGAACCTAACTTGTTTCTTTAGGGTAAAGGCAGATCATTTTTCCCCTCCACTTCAAAGAGGATCATACAATTGTCCCAGAAAAGCACCAAAAGCTTTCCCCTGTTCAGCAGTTGCAAGAGACATCACTCCTATTCTCAAATTGACAAATTCGGTACCACATAAGCTACTGTGTGACTCATGTAATAAAAGAGGATGTGTTGCAGCTGGGAATTTATCACAGAAGTGACACGTGATGGATAAACAGAAAATAGACCAAAACCAAATAATGTCTAGGCCCAGAAAGATCACAATTTAGGTGGGATACACCAGTTTTGAGGGGTGGAGATAGCTTGCTGTCAATCCAGTAGGAGGCAAAGAATTTGCTCGATAGACTTAATATTGCGGAGGACTTATGCCAATATTCAAACCCTGAAAGCATGAATTATGAAACTACCAAGAAGGTAAAGGCACAAGCTCGGCTTCACGTGAGGGCAAAAATGAGGATACATGGCAATTACGCTGAACAAGTAATGAGAGAATATTTTGTCCTTACCAGGAAGACACAAATGAGCAGAACTCTGGAGAAAACTGATCTGGCGGAGCAGAAGGCGGTGGGCTTTCAACAATTGCCTCCAAAAGCTCATAAAAGCTTGGCCAGCCTTGCTGATCTTCGGATTGCATGTAAGGAAAGCGTCCTATTGCACATTCAAGTACTACCAAACCCAAACTCCAGATGTCACTGCTATAGTCATATGTGCTCCCGCTGATCCTCTCGGGCTAGAAGTAATAATGACAGTTAGTTTAACTTGTATATACCAGTTCCATGCAAAAATGTCTGTTCTATGTGCCAATGCTACTATATGTCATGACTCATAGATCTGGAATGAGTTTAAGTTTCACGAAGTTAGTTCAAAGTAGTACCCACATACCGACATATAATTGTAAGTTCCAACAAATGTATCTCGTTGACCCATTGAGCTTGCCAGCATTGCACTGACACCAAAATCTGTAATCTTCACTTCACCTCTGTGGTTCACAAGCAGATTGGATGGTTTTATGTCCCTGTGTATCACATGTCTTTCGTTGTGCAGATAAACAAGACCTTGTAACACCTGAACACAAATAATCAGCCTTTAGTGTCAACAAGCTTCATCGAAACTCTTCATGTTTTACCGGAGATTTTAATCCACATGAGAACTCAATACCTGCTTACAGACCACTGCTAAATACGGTTCTAGGATAGTCTTGACTTGTCTGATCACGTCAGCCAGGGATCCACGGTCCATGTACTCTAAAACCAAGGAGAAAGCTCCATTGTGGTAGAACGAGTGGTAGCAAATCACAACATGTGGACATTGAGAAGCTTGATTTATCTTTAGCTCTTGTACAATCTGTTTACGGATCTCTTCTTGAATATTCATCTGGATGACCTACAAGTCCAAAATACACCTCAGATCAAGCAAAGACCAGACACTTCTGCAAAAGAGACTCAGTAGTAATAGAAGAACATTCTACTTCTACGAAGTAGCTGTCGATGAAAAATTGTCAGCAGAAATGCCATAGGTATATTCAGCATGAAAATCGACCCAACACAGTAACTTAGCAACATATTCTGTGATTTTGATTTGAAGAGAATAGACTAACATCTGAGCTCCATGTATACGGAGAGTTCATTCAGGAACGCCGCTGCTCTTCGAGCTTGTTGATAATAATCACTTTCTGTTTGAGAAACCAAACTTAATCTAACCATGAACAGTTTAACCTCTGAGGTTTTAGCGGTGCGTGACATAGTTGCGAGATCAATATACAAGCCATGAACCTCCTAGGTTTAAACATGAAGTGAACTAAATCAAAAGATCCTGTGAAGTCCTATGTTCCTTATTATAGACATGTATGTATCAAGCAAAATATATTGCAAAATAAGATATTTTGGGCGATAGAAGTTGTCTCGTTACCAGTGAGAATTGCCCTAATAACTCCAAATAGACAATATTGACATCTACTTTAAAAGCACTGCTATCAGATATTATTTCTAACAAAATTGTACCGGTAATAAATATAAAACAAGCACATACAAATAGCATGCAAATGCATTAGAAGATCATGATGCTAGACAGCAAACTTTATGCTTAAATCGTAGTAGAACTACTAAGTTTCGATTTAGATAATAGACTAATGATCAAGTTATTATTTCAGCAAGATACGATAAATCATGATTAATAGGAACATTGATTTGCATTAGATATACATTAATGCAAAATCGATAAATCTGCATACAATTCTGCATTTTTACAGATTTCTGTTCCTTTGAGAGATGGATGTCAAAAGGTGATAGATAGATTTTGATTGCTATGTTGCGTAAAACAGATAAAGGATGCTCCTATTAGTTGTTGACACTGGAATATATAGATAGACTGTAGACCAAATGCAACATAGAAAAATATTACATAGGAAAACCTGCTGAGCAATAGAGAAGCCTTTCATGTTATTATAATTACCTTAAGAGCAAATAGTTTTCCAACCCATTTATGGCGAACAAGTTGTACCACACCACCACTTCCCTTTCCTATGACTTTGATAGTCTCAAGGTCTTCCAATGAGAAGTCAAGATCAAGTTCCTTACCATTGGACGGCTGTCCATGTAAAAAACGAACAGATAATCTCATGAGCTCAAACCGGAACAAATTAAGAAAGAAGTGCTATGAAATCAAACACACAGTTGTCAACCATATTGACTGCCATTAGCAACAGCAATCAAAGGAAAAGAAAATGTGAAAATCAAATCCAACTTCATAGGAAGCTCAAGTGGACAAGGAACTGACTTTCTAACTTGCGAAGGTTCTAATAAAAAACGCGGATCATCAACAATTGGAGAATCTCACTTTAATACGTTTATGCTGATGTTTTCTACCAAGTTGACACCACTTAATAGAGCTCAAATGCTATATCTAAAAGTCAAGTAATCTGGAAAGTTACTAGATGCAGAGAACAGCGGTACAAAGGAAACTATAATTGGTGAAGTATGGAGAGAATAGGATAACAGTGGGAACAGGTAAGTCCGATGGTCAATGTAAGCGTCCTTGAATCAAGTCCTCGACATCATAGAATAAAAAATTCAGGCCAGCAAACCATTCATGGAGGAGTCACATGCTGCTTCTATTTTGATCTGGGCATTTAGGCCATCAATGACTTCTTTCCTGGGCACTTATCTAATTACTCTCCCATAGATCATAGATATCTTACAGTGTGGCACAAGTATTATGTGTAGCAGCAATTCACGACACATTTGAGCAGAACTAGACTACTACGCTGATTAGGTCAAATCGGCTTCCCCAAAAACCTTCACACAATCCGACCAAGTGACCAATACCCATCATTTGTACGAGGACAGAGATAACCACTCTTAAGGCAACGTGAACTTAAATCAGACTTACACAAGACTCCTTTTCTTCAGATTTGAGCCGCAAACCTTTAAGGTTTAATAGCAGATCACCATCATGGAACGTGCCACTCGCGGTCCTGCATTAAATTCGTGCCGTTTAGATTCGCCGCGAGTCGAACAAACTCAACAAGACTAGATCAGTTAGATACGAAGAAAACTCCAGCCTGCTAAGGTAACTGCGGATATGAAGTCGCACATCGACTAAGACAGCTCAAGCGGTCGAATCGCGATGCTGCCTCGATCTCAACTCAACACCAAATGAACAGCACCAAAGGCAACTTGCATTTCCACTAAACCAGGTACACGGCAATCGGAATTTCGATCCGCGTCTCATTTTCGCCTCCTATTTCTCCAGCCGCGCACGGCAAACTAATCTCAATCGGAAACCTCAAATCTCCGTCGTTCTTTCCCAGCCATCCCCTGCTTTAGCCGCCGTGAACCGAACGGCCGCCGGGGGGGGGGGGGGGGGGGGGAGAAACGGAAATCCGGGTCGGTTCCGAGGCAATCGGAGGCCGACGGAGCTCAAATCCGACGCCTAAAAAAGGAACGGACGGCTCGCGAGCCGAGCGGGCTGAAGGATCGCGCCGCCGCCGCCGCCGCCGCAAACGGCGGTTGGGAGCGTGTGGAGTGGTGGGGAGCTTACAAGAAGGAGGCGATCGGGGCGTCCTGAGCGGGGACGGCGAGCTGGAGGGGCTTCAGCGGCTTCGTGCTCCTCATCGTCTTCATGCTTTGCTAGGGTTCGCCAGAAGCTTCCCAATTTTGCTCGCGACGCTCTAGAGAGAGAGAGAGAGAGAGAGAGAGAGAGAGAGGGGGGAAGGACCCAAAATTTCAAACCGGAATGGCCGCGCGGAATATAATAATAAAGACGCGAGAAAATATTTTGTCTTGATTATTATTTTTTTAAAAAAACGAGAAATATCATTTATATTTGCTTTATTTTTTTTCATCTTTTCGGTGAAAATTATTTAAAGGATTTCAACTACGACTAGGCGCGAATGATAACCATTCTGTTTTTCCATTTTTTTTTATTTTTTTATTTCCGGAAACAGATTTGGAACAGAAATCCGCTTGGTATTTTTTTTATTTACGGGACAAATTTTGGGCCAGAAATAGATTTGGAACAGAAATGAGAAGTTAAAAATTTTATGTTTTTTTATTTGTGAAACAGAAATAAGAATAACAACTCTCTTTTGTTGCTCACCCTTGTCGCTCACCGCCACCCACTCGTTGCTAGCCGCCGATCGTCCGCTGCCACTCGCCACCACTTGCCAACTTATCGTCCGCCACCGCTCGCCGTCCGCCCACCGCCACCGCTCGCCGCTTGCCGTCCGGTGAGAATAGAAATTTTGTGTCATTATCAAACGGATTTTTATTCTGGGAATAAAAATTTTGTGTCATTATCAAATACTAGTTTTTGCTTAGAAACTCGTTCGTGAAAGAAAATTATATTTTTTAATTTCTAGACAGAAATAAGGCCGGGGAAGAGAAATATTGTCATTCGCACCCTAACTCACGTAGTTCGCCCTAGGTCGGGTAAAAAATAATCCGACCCAAATTGACTCATTTAACTCGTTTTAACTTATTTGCATGTAATACAAATTTAGTAAACCCTACTCATATCTAACCCATAACTGACCCTGACCCATATTGTAGGAAAATTCATACTCAAATCGAGGTGAGAGCAATGAGTGAGCGAGCGCGAGATCTAATGAAGGCAAGAGATAGTGAAGAAAGAGTCATAGAGATGGGATGAATCTAAGTAAATTATGGACCCATTTAACACGCGTACTATTTTGGGTTTTACCATTATAAATCCACTTACTATAACCTAGCTTACTAAATATGAGTTAATAAATAGATTTATGACCCATTTTAACAAGTCTACTACGACACAAGCTGAATCGATAATTCGTTGTTTGAACATTTTTCACGTCGTGTATAAATAAATTAGGTTTAATTCACATATATTGGCCAAGAAATATATTAGGTTTTATTATTTAAATAGACCATAATAAGGGAAAATCTGCTACTCTTTTATTTTTTATGCGCGTAATAGTTAAGAAATGAAATTTAACGTGTGGACACGATATATATTTAATTCTCCACACTATAATGTCTAAATCAAAACTCCCATATAGCCATTAAAAAGAATATATATATATATATAGATATATACGGGGCTCGATCAATAAATGATTTCTCGTAATTTTATTTTCACCACACTTAATTATTTTCTTCGAAAAAATCCGAGCAATATTTTAGGTTGCGGCGGAATCAATTAACCATTCTATTTCCACCCCTCCTTTTTGCTTCATCCACGCCCTTAGCACTTAAAATGACAGAACGACCCACGTGTGGGTCCCAGCGGACCCGCTTTTCTCCGTTTTCACGCTTTTTTGTTTTTTTGGCCCCGCGCAATCTCCGCCGCATCTCTCTCCTCCTTTTAGCCGCCGGTCCTCGAAGTGGTCGCGCTTTGCTTCGCCGCCCTCGCGATCTTCATCCCGCTTCCTCGGTATCGGCTTCTTCGGCAAGCACCAGAAGCGGCCGCCCCTTCCTTAGGGGCGATGGGGATGGTGACTTCGGCTTCCACTTCGACGACTTCCTCCGTCAATCAATCGGGGGGATAATAATCCGTCGGTGAAGAAATTGGCTTATGGCTTTTCCTTTCCTCTTTTGATGTTGCTCGAGGACCCACGTGTGGTGGGCTGTTTCGCCATTTTAAGTGTCAAGGGGGTGGATAAAGCAAAAGCGGGTGTGGAAATAGCGGTCTCCCTCTTCATTTTACTTTATTTTATTTTAACGTAAATATAAATAGCTTTTTTCACAAGTTCAAAGGTCTCTCTCTCTCTGCGCAACTCCAGTGCCTCCCTCCCTCCATAGCTCGGCCTCCTCGGAATCAAGTCGAAGGCTCCGACATCATCACGTCGCCGCGGGTAAGTTCTTGAATGGATGCACGGCTGTTCGTCCGCAGATGAATCTTCTCTTGTCGATCGGATCTCGCGTTTCCCTTTTGTCGCAAGATTACTGTCGATTCGAAGCTTCAGCGATTGGATTTCCTTCTCGCTTCTAGCTCCCTACAGTTTCAAATTCGACGCGTCAGTCGTGGTTTTGAGTGATTTGGGTTGTTCGCCGTACGCCCGCCCCTCGCACGCGAAACCCCAGAACGAGAGCGCAGCGCATTCTTACTGGGGTTCCGCTGATTGTACTCTTTTGGTATGGCAATGCTGTGTTGTTGAGTAGCAGTGTGGAGAGTTCATTCCCGCCGAATGGGATTTTCGTTCACGGGTTGTGCACAATGGGTCTGCTGGGAGTCGCGGGAGTGATTTGTAGGGAATGTGAATGCGACCGCGAAGTGATGAGGGCTTGACTTGAATAGAATGAAACTAACCTGCATGAGTGAGCCACAGAGAATGTTTACAACATTGTGAATCAACCGGTCCATCGTGACGTTGGCCGGTGGATTTCTTACGTAAATGGGGGATTTTCCTGAGGCAAAGTGGGGTTAAAAATAAACCACAAATCAAACTATCTTCCCTCACATGTTCTAGGAACCCAGTAAAGTATCCTTTGAGATAACCGATGTGAATTTTCATATCTTCGTCGTGCTACTATGTTTCGCGGATTTTGCATATCCTTATTACGTGTCGTGTACTGCACAAGTAAACATCATGGTCGTTTTTTGTTTTTTGTTGGTTTTGCAGAAAACGAGGATGAAAGTCAAGCTCTTGAGTATCCTTCGCACGATGCCTGGCTGCGCTTCTTGCTGTCCAATATATTCATAGACTGGCCAGTTAATTTGTTTGTTTTACATAATCAAATGAATAAACAGTCCAGTAATGAGAGCTATGTTAGCGTTTCTTTGTGCCGCCGGGCTGTCATTCCATTCTCTGTGCTGTCTGACCAAATTTTGATCTATATGTAGCTGTTTCCTGGATATTGTGTTTGTGCATTCTTTAAACCTTTTCTCATTCACTAATGGATCCTTCAACTATCGATTACTAATTCATCTTTCATTCTTTCCCTTTCAGTTGGCTAATGTCCATCATTCCTTTCAATATCTCCTTTTCCTTCTCCCATAAGTATCAGAATCAGTTGTTGTCATTTTCTTATCCGTGAAACACTAAACTTATATATGATCAGACATATGACTTAGATGAGAGATTTGACTTATAGTAGGTCCTATGCTCCTGATTTTCTCTCTACTACTACTTTGTTCTCCCGCTATTACCTGTTTGTTTTCTTTCTTGTTGCTTCTTTTGACGCCCATTTATTATTTGCTCTCATTCCTTCCATAAAAAAAGAAATTGCTGATATTCTTCATGTTATAATCCATTTCAAGGACAACATGAGGATTTGTAAAACATTTCTCTTTAATTTGCAGAAATTCACTACTCAAACATGCGCATGCACAATTCATGAGCATGTGTTGTGCAAACTCAAAGACACGCCTGCGCACGTGCTCGTGCACAAGAACAGACGCATGCACGTGTGCAGGCACACACATACATAGAGAATAGCCGGTACCAAAGGAGGCCTGAATTTTGGATATATCTGCTTGTAATTCCCACATAGAACTTGCCACAGTCAATGTTTTGATTCATTTTCACAGAAGTGTTTGGAGACTAACATCGCCTGTTTCCAAGCATCTGCTTCATTCTCCAGTTACAAATGTTCTTCTTTGTGGGACAGTTTTCCTTGACCTATTTTTTCCTGAATTCCTGCTGGTTTAATTGAACAGAGTAAGTACTCACTTTTAGCAGATAGCTGTATTAGGCATTTGTACATCTGTAATAAAAAGGGAAGGACTTGTTCATATGTAGGGGCTGCGGAACCCTAAATCTTCTGTTTATCTGAACCACAGATGGCATGCTGTCGCTTCATGGACTTGGGATGCCCAGGATGAAACGTGTGGAATTTGTAGGATGGCCTTTGATGGCTGTTGTCCCGACTGTAAACTCCCTGGGGATGATTGTCCACTGAGTAAGTTTCTACCTTTGCTCACTCTATTCTTAGTAAGGTATAATGTTGTAGCTGATATTGCCTATTGAATATAGATGGAGATGTCCTGTATTTCTCCTCTGAGATGTCTGCGTGTGAATCTGAAGTACCTCTACATAGTCAACAAGGCTTCAAGCTAGGCTAATTGCCCTGTGCTTTATAAGCAATTCAAGCAAATACTAAACAGTTGCTGTTTAACATAAAATAGTTGTTTCTCTTCAACATGTCCAGAAGATTAAAAATGAATTTGGGCCTCTAATTTCTCTTCTTCACTCAGAGAAGATCCCATGTACTTTGCCTTTTTTCTGGTTTTCGCTAGAAGAGGAGCAAGCTTGGATATAGCTTTTGTTTTGAAAATGCAATGCTGCATTTTTCTGAGGCCAAATCGTTCTTCATATTTGAAGTTCCAAGCTGAGCTTTTGTTTCATTCTTTTCTTTCAGCTAAGTAAGCTGAGCTTGGATATTCTAAGTTGAGCTTGTTGTAATTAGTTAACCCTTGAACAGGAACTGGATGTTCATAATGTTGAATAGCATGGCTTTGTTCTGAAACACGATGTTCTGTCATTTCCAGTCTATGTAATTGAACTCCCATATCTTGAACCTGTGTCATGAATGTTTTCATACCTCTAAAGATATGGTAACTTATTCTTTCTTCCCAATTTCCCCTTCCCTCCCCCTCCTTGAAGCCACAAATAATAAAGGAAAACAAAGATGCTTTCTAAGAACAGTTATATTGATTACATATTCTGTGATTGTTCTGCAGTATGGGGTGCATGCAATCATGCTTTCCATCTTCATTGCATCTTGAAGTGGGTGAACTCGCAGACTTCTCAAGCACACTGCCCCATGTGTCGGAGGGAATGGCAATTTAAAGAATGATGAGTCAAAACTCACAAATTCTCCCATCTTCATTGCATCTTGAAATGGGTGAACTCGCAGACTTCTCAAGCACATTGCCCCATGAGTTAGGAGGAATGGCAATTTAAAGGATTACAAGCCAAAGTGTATGATATCCTCCCAACTCGTCCTTCTTTGCGCTAGAGTGTTTTTTAATGCACCGACAGGTATATGCAATTGATTTGTGAGGAATGATGTCACTTTGGAGGAATGTTCTTATGAATGGCCAACATTAGTTGGTGTTTGGCCCTACCCACTATGTAATAGCCTTATTGTCACGCATGTCTGATTTATAAGTGGGGTAATGTAATCTTTACATATGCATGAATTCAAGGGATTATCATGATACACAGTAGTCCTTAAGTACTGTCTAAAGATTGCAAATTTGCATGTTATTTATGCCTTGCATTAAACTACAGCTGTTCTGGTAATCTGAGTTGTACTTTTCTACCGTCGCCTTTTGCTGTCAGCTCGTTTTGTGTCTTAGACCTTTTTTTTTTTTAAAGATGTCTCCTGACGTGCAATTTGCCGATCCCCGCGCTTTCTAACTATTGCACGGACATCTTGCTTGGGATCTTAAGTGTTCTCAAAACCGGGAAGGATGAGGTGGCTGGATTGGTTTTATTCAAAGCAGGCCTTGATGATACGCGGTTTTGATCACAGACCATTTGCTCAAAAATGGTTTAACGCATACATCGTCGTCTTCGATCGAAGACAATGCAAAGCGGGCCTTGCTGATGCACAGACAGTCTGTGCATCGTCCTCTTTGTCTATAAGCCTACAAAAGTACATCTATTGTGTAGTTGCTTTCGCCTGAGGGTCTAAACAGTTCGATAGACAACCAAATTTGGGTATCCGGGTATGTCTTGGTCGGTATCACGAATCACTTAAAGACCAGTTCAGTTTCTGTTTATTGTTATTGAAGCACAAGAGAAATCCTCCTTCTCCCACCTGTCATGCTTGAGACATGCCGAAGGGACTTTTATGTTGTTGGTCATCGGCACATTGTGAACGAGTAAAGTTGACGTCGGCTTCAAGTATTAAATAGTTGACAAACTTGGCTGTTTCGTGTGTCATCTTCACACGTCTCTGTCCGTTCTTCTGATCTGCAACCTAGTCTTCAACCGTTTCCTGAAATTGGGAAATGAATCTCAACGTGTAGGCAAGTGCAACCACCTCGATTTGAACAGAAACTAGTGGCTCTCTTTCCCCTGTCGGGGAAATAATGCTCGACGTGTACGCAACCACCTCAATTTGAGCATAGACTAACGGCTCTCTTTCCCCCCCTCGAGGCTTCATCCTTGGACTCTCTCTCTCTCTCTCTCTCTGTGGATATATTAGATGTTATTGTCAAAAGGAAAAATTCTACCTTTTATCACTGTACTTTCACGTTTTTTTTTCTAATCAAAGTTCCTTTATTTTTAGTTTCTCTATTCAAGTCGCTATATAATCAAGTCTCTGTTACACCAAATATATCAGCAGACCTAACCATCACGCTATGTTTTCCATCCGACAGGCATGTCGGCTAGATTTGGCCGGATTTCAATGTCCAAAAGTAGGGAATTCGTAAAAGTTAAAAGTAATTGATTAGACAAGTTAATAGTACAGGAACTTAATTAGAAAAGGTGTCAAAGAATAGCTAAGAGAAAGAAAGAAAGAACACGTTTAGGGCATTAGTTTATTTCATTTCTCACCTAATTTTTTCATCTCTCTTTCTCTCTTTCTCTCACACACCCACATTAAGCAATCGCCGGAGAACAGTTGCTCAATTCAAGAAGTGTTGTCGCCTACGTTCTTAGCGCCATCACTATCTGTCGTTGTCACTTGCCACTCCCCATGACCTAAACAAGATCTTTCTCTAGGAAAAATCCTTCGAGAAAAGCATTCTCGACCCGAAACACCGATTTCATCGAAGAAAAATCGTTCCTTCAAATTGGCTACCTTTTCAAACCAAAAGAGTAAACATTTGCTTAACCATTAAGCTCGAGATTTCAGCAGGGTTGGTCCATGGTGGGACTAGGGTTGGTAAGTTGAAGCCAAAAATGCCAATTATGCAGATGTCGATGGTTCAGTTTGTGCGTAGGTCCTACGCCAATGTTGGACCATAAACAACACGATACCATGACAAAAGTGCTTTTCCAAAGAAATCCTAGCATCTTCCTCTCTTGTTTTTACTATATGGCTAAGAAGAGCAAAGTACTCCCTCACCTTTAACTCTAGTTAGGGTTTAGAGCAAAACACATCATTTTGTACGAAGCTAGGAAAAGATAATTATAAAATAGAATCGAAATTAGTGTGGTTCGTTCCTATATTTCAATGGGGGTTGGCGATAGAGAACTAAGATGGGAATTCGAATGAAATTAGACTCAGTGTTGCGTACGTCCCTTACAAAAAGTAGGAAGATGGACATCAATAAGAGTGCAATTAGAAATGAAATTCCTATGCTTTCCGTTCTATCGTTTAATTTGTGGGGTGTTATAATTATGGTCGCGACGGTCTCGAATGAACTTTTTATTCAAATTTCGTTGCCTGAGATTCGAACCTAGGAGAAGATTATCATGTGTAATTTGGTCAAGTGAAATCGAAAAATAAGGAAAAGATGTCCTTCCTTCATTTTCAATGCTGACATCCGTGGCACGTGAATCACCAACTCCCGACGAAATGAATGAATGAATGAATATTGCGATTACCGCGAAAATGGTTTCATCTTTTTTTCGTGGCACCGATCGCAATTTTTACTTTTTTCATGATAGCACGAGGGCATTTTACTTATTATTCGAATAATTCCCGCATATGTATTTGGCTATTGACAATCTCGAATTTTTATAAAGGTATTGAAATTTTTGGATATTCTCAAAATTAAATTTTCCTGATTGAAAGTCGTTTATTTTAAAGCAAGGATGTTTAAGACCTCTCTAAAGCGGAAGCCTATTTCTCTTTCTCATCGCACTTTTCTTTTTAATTACATTTTTCGAAATTGGTTCCCAATCTCTAATTCCCGTTGTAACTGCCATTCAAACGCGGTGAACGTAAGCTTGCTTTTGCATAATTATCCGGTTATCTGAAAAGATGGAAAATGGAGATGAATTTAGGGTTCGTTTGTTTCAAGAAAAACTGATTTTCGGGAAATTGTTTTTCGACTTTTCAATATTTTGATGACGGAAAACAATAGATTCATGGAAATCGTTTTCCATGGACTGAAAATAACAAAACTTAAGATCAGGAAAAACAACTTTCCCTTTCGGTAAGAAGGAAATCATTTTTCCTAAATCACCAAACTAATTAAAACTAGTCATTTTCCCTGTTCTTTTATTATGAAAGTTTTCAATGAAACAAACGCACCATGACTCCATTTGTCTTGCAGAAAATGAATTATGCGAATTTTTTTTTTCCAAAAACTGATCGCTCGCATAACCCGATATAATCAGCCAATGAATAATATTTCTATTATCGGTAACAATTTATCCAAACGATTTCGTGAAAGCCGAAAATATTTTTCGTTTATTCATTTATGCAAGCCATACCACTCTCCAGATCATTTCATTTATGTCTTTGCAAAGATGACTAGTAATACTTTATTTTGGCCATCGGGATCTTTTTCAATTCTCGATTTTGATAAGAGTTGTTCTTTGGAGAGCATGGTACGACGAAAGTTGCGAGCTGTAATGTTCGAGCATATCCCACTATTTATGAGGAAATATCATTAAAAAAAATAATCCCAAGTGGGCTCGATGAACGAAATGGGATTAAAGCACAATACCAAAATCTGCCGACACTCGAGGGGGCCACGTCACGGCTTTTACAAAAGAAATGAATGCCACGATTCAAATCATCGGGCACATTGCAGACAACTAATGACGAAATACATATGAAAACGACGAAGAGAAAGGAGGACTTCCGACACGTTCGAAGATGATCGAATCGCACAGAAAATCAGCTGGCGGCTGCTGGATTAGAGGGCGCAATTAGCCACTCAAATCTCTGCACCTGTCAAAGAAGGAAAAAGGAAAAAGAAAAAAAAAACTCAGATTTTGTTTGGGAAAAAATGAAAATTTCATGAACTTTTATCCAATCATTATTGTTTTGTAGAGTGATAATCGTTTTTTCCTTCCTTTTTCTTTTTGTGAGATAAAGAGTAAATGGGGATGCTTCAATTATTTTTTGACTAATAACATTTTTTTAGCTATACATATAGTACACTAGAAATCCTAAAATTTGTTATAAAGTGCGATTGAGTTCTAAAACTTTTAAAAAGTACAATCAAATCATCAAACTTGTCACGAAAGTGCAATCGAATCCTATTCAAAAAATGTAATCAACAGAAAGACTTGATTGAGCCAATTTGACAAGTTTCAGGACTCAATTGCACTTTCGTGACAAGTTTTAAGACTTAATTGTATTTTTTGAAAGTTTTGGCACTTTTAATATACTTATCCCATATGTATCTATATGTATGTATGTATATACGTAAGGAGAGAGAGATTGCTTCGGATCTTGGTGATGGCATAGACGGCATAAATGATACCAGGAATCCAGCCATAGAGCGAGAGCACCAGACAGATCCAGAACTCCGCTTGCAAATATATATAATCAAACTCAAAACTCCCCGCAAAAAATAATTATTCTTCTTATTTCTCTCTTGGCCAATCCAAAAAATTATATTTTTTTCCTATTTTGCTTGATAACAAAAACGCCCAAAAGAAAAAGAGAAAATTGGAAAACTTTGCCTTCGACATGCACTCATGAAAAAAAAAATAAAACTTTCGCCTTACGTTAACTGACGAAAACCTACGTAAAACCGGAACTCTCTCAACTGCTTAATAAGATCAGAAGCGTGCATCATCACCTTGCAACCGTACTTGAGGAAGACGCCGAGAGGCGGCACGTTGATGGCGATGAGAATGTCGATGCAGTTCTTCATGCCCTCGTCCGCCATTTTCTGTTCCTTTTTCCTTCTGCTGTGTCTCTCTTTAACCAAGCGAAGAAGACCCGACTTGCTCTCTGCAGAAACCCCTTCTGAACGAGCTCGCGAATGGAGGTAGAAGAGATTGAAGGGGAACAGAATCGAGGGCCATACTTACAGGGGCTCGAGGTGCCACGCCGCGGCCTTGCTTGGGCTCTCTGCAGAAATCCTAGAAAAGCGTGTCTTTTGCTTGCCCAAGAATCGTATGCAGCTCAGGATCAAGAATAGGACGAAGATGTGCCAACAGTGAAAAGTATGTTCGGATAATGTTTTGGGGTTCGCGTTTGCATTAAAGGGCAGTGTTAGTCCCCATGATTTGTTCCTTTTTTCGGAGTTTGAGCCCCGCGAAGGAAACCTCGATCCAATTTTTCTTAATTGGAATGGCTTCTTAGTTTGAGTGGGTTTCTTAATTTGAGCAGTTTCTCAAAATGCATTTGTTATGGAGAAAATTTCGTGATGAAGAAAAAT